CCTAGCTCCTCACGCTGCTGTATCAGTGGCGGAAGCAGCTTCACATCGACACTCAGGCCAATATCTCTACAGTCAACTAAAAAGTAAACCGGAAATTTACTTCATTTCTTCCTTCTTCTGCAGTCTTTCTTACTTTTCACAGACCATGACACAGTGAAATCCAAAATTCATTCCCCCGGTTTATCCACCCAGCCCTTGGTGTAGACATGGCTCTAATTTATCAACTACATCTTATAATTTATAAATTATCAGTTATATTTTATTTATCAAAAACATTTTACTGAGCACCAGCACAGATTCTCACACACATCCTGAGTTCTCTGTGTTACGCTTGCAGTAAACCAATCAGAAAAAAGAACAGGCTGTCTGAACTTGCACTCTGCCAACGGTGGAGAGAGCCATCCCATCCCAGGCTTCAAACATGAACCTGATGTGAAATGGTTCTCCAGCTTAAACGTCCTCTGCTGGAGAGCAAGCTAACAAGCTGCTGGGTCCAGACAAGGAATGGGGCAATAGTAAAGCCAGCAGCTCTCCTCTTAACTCTCCAGCACAGCCTCAGTGCAGTGCTCTCACCAAATGCCCAACCTGTATTTAATCCGCACCAACTTCCATTTTCCGGGAGGAGTAGCTAATCCCCCTTGGGTCAGAAATTGAAGAACTATAGCTTTAAAAAAAGCCTAGTAACGTGAAGGAAAAGCTAAGTAAGCATTAAGTGAGCTTGAAATAAGGCATTCTTAATTCCTGGTTCAGACATTTAAAAAAAAATGCTCTACCTGTGTATTACCTCATTTTTTCTTTACATCAAAAGATACTATCAACTAGTTTAAAAGACAAGCTGAGGTTTTGTGTGTGTGCATATGTGTGACTGTGTGAATATGTATGTATGTGTTAATGTGTGACTGTGTGTGAGTGTGTGTGTATGACTGTGTGTATGTGTACATATACATAACACATGTGATGGATAGCTAATTTGTTAATCCAGAAAAGCAAATGATAAGATGAAATAATTACTTTAATATAAAGTGAGCAGAAATATAAAACCCATAAAGGAAAAATAAAAATAAATAACATGAAAAGTTTTAAACTTAAGAGTAATCAAAGAAATGCAAATAAATTACAGCTGATCAAAATTTGAAATTTTACTCAGGAGAGGTAGGAATTGAGGATACACACTGAAAGAACTTATTTTTCAAGGGCAGTTATTGTATGCCAAAGCCTAATTCACATCCTTTGACTGATAGATTTCACTTATACAGTATTAACTCAAAAGAAAACTGCCATGAATGTATGTAAATTTTTTGCCAAGATATTAAACAAAATATTACCATTTTCTCAGGTAGTAAGTGTGGTAGAGCCATATAATAAAATTGCCAGGGAGACAAGGAGGAGTATTAGTGACCTAAACAGACAACTTGAGAGGAAGGTGAGTTATATAGCATTATGTAGGCTTTGCTTATTATGTCCCTGTTTAGAAAGATTTGTGCCTTCCCACAAGAAAGGCTGCAGGTGCATGTCAGCATATTATAGCAGTATCTTTTCACATTTGTGTTTTCAATTCTTCTTCAGCAATGTGGGGTTCCTCATGTTAAAGTAATTTTTGAAGATACTAAATTATGTTTAAGATATGAATTTCACCTTTTGAAAAATATACATGAATGAAGACACTACCCAGAATGCTGGTAGTGGTAAGTACATGACATATATCCATTTTTTCTCATTTTTCCCCAGATTTTCTATTTTCCAACTTTCCTGCAAGTATTCGTACATTTCATTAGTGGCCAGAAAAGGCAAATACTTAGAAATAGACACTATTGTAGTTGCCTTGCACTTGAGATACATGGGTTAAAGACGTTTAGAAGACACATAACAAAGAGAAAGAGGTTGGCTTCAGCTTTGATTTGAAGAAATCAGCTTTGATTTGGGCATTGAATGTTACTCTTGCTCCAGTGCCAGTTTGGGATCCATTGTCAGCAAGGGGTAGATGCTCTAGGTAAGGATGAGGTCCTATGGTTCAGTGGCTCACTTTTTGAAAGTAGATGTCACATAATTTCTCCATTTACCTGTTCAAAGATACTGTTGATTTAGGTTTCAAACTGAGATTTGGGAACTCTAGGGGAGACTCTGAGACCCTTCAACCCCTTCAAGTGATTCACCCCCAAGATCGATTTTTATGACACCAAGGTAGCATTTATTCTTTCTCTCTCAAACACATGGGACAGTGTTTCAGGACACTGTGTGGTGACATAATCCAGGCAGTTCTTGGAATATGTGCTTATGTTTTCGTGTTCCTCATATGGCTTAGTTTTAATCTCCAATATGATAGTTATAGGAATAACCCACAGAAACAGAGGCTTTCAGGTTCTCCATTAATGCATAAACCTATAAAGGAATCTTGAGACTAGAGTTGAAGAACCAGTTAGCTGAATTAACACTAATAATGTGTCGTATGTGTAGGGAGACCTCCTCCATCAAGAAGATGGATCCTGGGGCTAGAGTACCAAGGACATCACTTCTGTTTGTATCTTCTATATCCTTAAGAAGTAGTTGCCCTTAGTCCTTCTGACAGCTTCATTTTCATAGTTTTGGAGGCTAAAAAGGAACCTTCTTATAAACTAATGTGTGATGGGTAAACCCAGTACTATTGAATGCAGGGTGTGCGGACTAGTGAGTGGCACTAGATCACCTGACTGTCTTCATTTTCATCACACTGGGAAATTTAGTGACACTGGGGGCTGGGACAGGGATGTGATTCCTTTCTGAGAGAAACGAAAGTGTATATTTAAAAGGAAACTGGGCCAGGTGTAGAGTTGCATGTCTGTAATCCCAGCACTGAGGTAGAGGCCAAAGATGGCAAGTTTGAAGCTAGCCTTGGCTACATATTGAGTGGGCCTTAAATCCAACTTAAAAAGTGCTTGGTCACGCCCATAACATTTGTGTCTGTGTTGCACCAATATGTCTTGCAGACAGGTCACTGTTGTAGGTCTCAGGGTTTGTAGCTGGCAGATTTTAATGATGTTTTTTCTCTTCTGGTAGTATGCAGAGTACCTTCCAGTTCTCTGAACACTAGTCTGTAGAGGTAAAGCCGCTAGTTAAGCACCAGCTTGCCTTCTCCATGTTTGATGTGGTAAGTATTGTCCTCAGCAGTAGGGTTGTAGAAAGTAACCATTAGCCTTGGCAATAGCCTGTGATGTTTGAAGTGGAGGTGGGGGGCAGGGGGGTCTGTTAGACTCCTTTGGCCAATGCCTGACTCCTCAAGATGTAACTCATTCCTGGCACTGGAAGTTTTACTATGTGACCTAAGATGTCTGGTTGGGACTTTGTGGGAAGACACATTGTAAACAATTAACTGTGTTTAAGCAATACTTGGCTTTAAGATGCATGCAAATGACTGTAGAATAGGTACATTTTAGAGAATTGTTTCCTAAGTTTTGTCAAATTGTTTCTCCAAGTTTGGGGCTCTGCTCTTTTGTGTAGAGCCAGAAGTGTAGAGCACTGTGTCTCCTTGGAGATGCGGTTCTTCTCTGAATCTCAGAGCAGCCGCAGTAGAACAGTCGTTGCTGCTTTGTCTAGAGGCAGTCTGCAGGGCTTGGGGTAGATAGATACTGAAGGCCTGAACTAGCTGAACCTTAGGTGAGTGGTTGTGATGGTGTGGTCCAAAGAGACCTGAGGCAGCAGGCACTACCTACAGTGTCCCATGAACCCAGGAGAGCCCTTGGGAGGGAATCAGGTGCCTGACTTAATAATAGTGCCCAAAACCTGCCAGAGAAGATGAAGGAAAATCCTGGTAGTTAGGAGGTACAATATGGTTTCAGAGTCGAAAAGCAGCCAGAGAAAATAAGGGCAGTCGATTGTCACGGTAGTAATGAAATCACAGTCTGAAAGGGCTTGTGGTGAACTGGGATAGGTCTTTGAGACATGTCTTCGGGTCTCACTTGAAGATAAGAGGGGGCTCCATCACTGCTTCACAACTGAGTGGTGCTTTCACACACATACGGTACAGATTCCTTTGGGAAGCTTGTTCGTCCATATTTCTTGAGGATTTAAAGAGGAGTGCCTAGACTTTTCTTCACTAGAAACAGGCTTTGCTACCCCAGGACTGAAGAGTTTTGTGCCAGGCTCTTGTGGTACTTGGATGTTGACTGGGTGGCTTCTTCTCTGCACCCCTGTGCTGAGCCGAGTCTCTGTACCCCCAGCTGTGTGCAGAGGCCCTTTGGAAGCTTGCTGTGGGCTACCATCTCTTTTGTCAGGCTGATGGCTCCTGAATTCTGTAACAGGCTAGTAATCTTGGCCTTTGTGAATCAAACAGAGGGCTGCTTCTGTCTCCCTTCCCCGTCCTCAGTCTTGCCCTTTTCTTCTCATTACTAAGCAGTAATAGATATAATTAGGTTATGTCCTATTTAGTTAATTGGTGATTGGGAACATGATTGTTTAGTTGTTTAGTTAGTATGTAGTTGTCCGTCTTTAGAATATTGACTAATTTGTCTGATTTTGCAAACAGTATCATCATCTCAAACAGTGAGACTGTTTATATGAAGCTAACACAGAGATTGCTCCCAAGGCAGGGTTTTCGGCCCAGGGCCTGGAGTTTTAGACCAGTTCTTCCCTCTTCCTTTCTGGCACCGGGGCCTTGCAATGTGTGACCATCAGCCGTCACTCCTCTGTGTCTCTTGTCCCAAGGTTTTCCATTTCTGTTGGATGTTCTCACAGAACCCTGCTTTGGAGCACATATGGATCATTGACTTTGTTTTTTAAAACCTCATACTGTGTGATAAGATTAATACGTGGATTGTACTGGATAGAGATGCCTACTTAGAATACATAAAACTGCACGTGGCAAAACTCCTTTAGTGTTTAAAAGTAATTTCTAGACAAATGTAAGTGACAGTGTCAACCCATAAATGGAAACATTTAGATTTGATTAATCATGGCTTCTGTACCCCTCTGGTTTGTCTATTTGGGTTTCTTTTCTTCTTTTCTTTTCTTTTTTTTTTCTTTCTTAATGCAAGAGCTTTGTAACTTCTTCTTCTTAAATGCATAAGCATTATCTTGAGAGTCCAGGCTCAATTAGGCAGAAATCTAAGCAATTAATTAAAAGATCCAACCTGGCCAGGGAGGGAAGGTGTCAACACATGTCATAGTGGCCAGGAACACCGGTTAATTAGAGCAGGGGGACATTGTGGTAAATTACGGGAAAAAAGGGCTGGGCGAAACTCGCGGTGTATGCTTCTATTATTCCTAAACCTAACCCATAAACAATTTGTTGTGACAGCTCTGGGCCGAGATTGTGCCTAAAAATAGGCACGTTATTGAAGAAAAAGAATATTTAACAGTTGAAATTTCGTGAGAGACTGATGCCGTTTCATTGTGATAATTCCCCCAAAGGCACATTAGTGATGCTGCTGACTACAGACTCTAATAGACTTTAATAATGTGTGTTTTAGAGGCCTGATACACAACGGGGTAATGTATAAAACATTCATTATGGAAAACTGCTACCTTTTTATTTAATGAGAAAGCGGCCGAAACAAAACCACTGCTCTGCCATAACACCAGGTTCCTGGGCATGAGAGTGCTGAACCGTGGCTCCCACCTACATTTCCTGTGCTCTAAACAAGTTGCAATCATCTTTACTTTCTTGTTCCACGGATGAAACTGGGGCTGTAAAAACACTCTTGTTTTGGATCAACCCTTGTTCAAATCATGGCTCCACCTGTCTTCATTGCCTAAGCAACTTACGCAAGTTGCTCAACATGGAGCTACATGGAATGTGGTCTGTCTCACAGGTTGTGGGGGTAAGTTAAGTGTTGGCATGGCAGAGGCCATACATGCTGGGCACGCAGCAGTTTCCATTATGACAACTTTCTACAACTGTTTCTTCTTATACCTCTTGTTTCTGTGCTTGTCTGTTGTGGGGAAACAGGAAGGGGTCCAGAGGAGAAAGTACAGTTAAAAAACCTTGATAAGTAGCACCTGACGCAAGCCTTGCCTGGGATTTTAGTGTGACCCTAATGTATAGCAGCTTAGAGTCCTGCTGCTGAAGGAAAGAGAAGAGCATGGAGCAGATGCCTGGAGAACAGTAGAGCATTTATCTCTTTTAATGAGGTAACATCATTAGGATGACAAAGTGCGGAGCGTCAGTACATGAAGTGGACTAGCATTACCTGTTCACAGTGCATGATTGTTACTGCACAGCCTAGCATCCGCTGGATTTCCGATTCTGTCTTATCTGATATCTGGGCCACTGGCCTTGATCTCTCAGAATAGATCTACACCTTGGGGCTCTCCACAGAATCAGGGAGAGGGACTAATTGGATAAATGAGGGGAAATCCAGGGTGTTTATAAGCTGCCGTACAATCAAGGGGCGTCTCAGAAAGGATCGAAGCCTCTTTTCCCTTTGGCTCCTTGAAGTGGCTGTGCATCCTGACTCCTTTCCCCTCCATCCACACTCCCAGCTCTCTGTCTGCTTCCGCTGTAATGTCAGAAACACTAATCATGTCAGACTGTGTGACACTGCCAGCCCTGACATTCACAACAAAGAGGGAAGAGAGAGAGAGGAGAGAGATGATGGGGGGAAGGGAGAGAAAGCAGCAGGTAAGGACTTTTTTTTTTTTTATCACACATAAAACCTACAGCTGCAGAATCACCAACATTCTAGACAGATCACATCCAAAGAAAATCAAGGAGGGTGCAAGGTGAATTCTGATGGAGATTTCAATTGGGCCACACAGATTTCGAGTTACTATTTTCCATCCTGCAGATTTCAGTTCATAGCCTTTCTTGTAATTACCATGGCTGAGATTTCTTTCCTTCACTTAAAAAAAGAAAGCATTTCCATTTCTCTCCCAGCCTTTACCCAGTTTTCCTCTGCAGTGGAGCAGAGTTAAATGAGGCTTATAGTGGGAAGTACATGCTCTCTCTGAGCCCTTCCATTTTCTTACCAGATTCTGTAATTTAATTTGAACAACAGTCACTTCAAGAAAGAAGTCACTGCTGAGGGGCATCTTCTGGCCATGACTAAGGTGAATGAGGACCATCAGGTGTGAGCCTCAGTGGACTCCCAGAGCTTGCTGATGTGTGTATGCAGATGCTGCTGAGCCTGCTGCTCCCTGGCTGCTGGGATTGGGCTTCCCTCCCCTCCAGCACCTCTCTGTTTGGAATCAGGCTGGCGAGGGGGCTCCAGTCTTCACTTCGCAGCAATCATGACCTGGAAACCTGCTGCTGCCTGTGTTTAAATCCAGATGCTGTGATCTAAATTGGGCTCAGGCAGAACCAGCCCTGGCTTTTTATAAACAGAGACTCCAGCTGCCAGCTCAGCTTTTGAGGGATTTTGAACCAGTAACTCCCAGTTAGGATGTCTCCCCTTTCCCCTTTTCTTTATGTAAGAGAGAAAAAAGTAACAGCAAGCTCATACATAGTACATGGCAGTTACCTTGTTAGAAAGACTCTGCATTTTTGTGTATACTTAAGGACCAGCGGTTTTATAAATGCAGTGACTTCTCTTTGGATTGCTTTAAAGTAATGTGATTGCAACCTCTTTCTTGTCTTTAGCACCCAATCAAAGCCTTTCATACAGGGGCCACTTAGAAGAAATGCTCCCTAATATGCAATAAAAAGGCTTATTTACAATTCTTGGGGGGAAATTGTACTTCTATAAGCATAAAAGAATGAATTTGTATACTAGTGAGAATTTGGGAAATTACCACCAAATACCTTTCCTGTAAAGTTAAATCTTCTTTGGAGTTTATTTTGCTCTGAGGTTTCGCATTGATTGTTCTTTGTTTTTGCTCTTTTGGGGGACCTGCCACCCAGTTCTCAAATAAATCATACATTGAGGCTTATTCTTACTTATAAATGCCTGGTCTTAGCTTGGCTTGTTGCTAGCCAGCTTTACTTAACCCATCTGTCTTTTGCCTCTGGGCTTTTCCCATTCTCTTCTGTAAATCTTACTCTGTGGCTTGCTATATAACTGGGTGGCTGGTCCCTGGAGTTCTCCTCCTTCTCTGGATACTTCTTTTTCTCTCCTCCCAGATTTCTCCTGTTAATTCTTTCTGTCTGCCATCACCACCTGTCCTTCTTCTGCCTCTTCATTGGCTGTTCAGCTCTTTATTAGACCATCCGGTGTTTTAGACAGGCAAAGTAACACAGCTTCACAGAGTTAAACAAATGCAACATAAACAAAAGTAACACACCTTAAAATAATTTTCCCCAACAATTGATGGCATTTGCATTGTTCTCTGATGTTTTCCTGTTTGCTTTCATTTACATGCAGTTAAAGGACTTTAAATCCTATATAGGGTAATGCTAGCTGTGATAACAAATAGGCTCTGAATGTGTTTGGTCTGACACAATAAAAGTTTCCTTTCTGGCTCAGTACCATGGAGGTGTCTGCTCAGCAGTATGCTTTTATTCTGAAGTGATGGAATTCTGTGCCAGGCCCTTTCCATCTTCTGTTTTACTGTCTGTATTGGTCTGCTCAGGCTATGGTAGCAGAGCATTCCAGCCTGGGTAGCTTGTTATCTCTCTGTTCTAGAGACTGGAAGTTCAAGGCCGAGATGTAGGCAGGGCTATTTACTTCTGTGGTTGTGAGCCAAGGGTATAGTCCAGGCTTCTCTCTCTGCTGCCTTTACTTCGATTTGCAATTCATCTTTCCTGTATTTTGTGACTGGGTCCAAATATCTGCCCCACCCCCACTTCCTGTCTTTTTGAAACAGAATCTCACTGTGTAGTTCTAGCTGGTCTGGAACTTGGTATGTAGATCAGGTTGGCCTTGAATTCACAAAGATCCACTGACCCCCAAGTGCTGGAGTTACAGGAGTGTGCTAGCACACCAGGTCCCAAATTTCTCTTCTATGAGAATACAAGACATACTGGATTAAGGGCCTTCTCTAGTCCAGTATGAATTAATCTTAACTAATTTACCTGATGACAGTCCCATTTTCAAAGAGGTCACACTGTGGTTTAGGATTTGATATATGAATTTGGAGGAGAAAGGGAGGATAATTCAACCTGTGACACCATCATGGATTGAGACATGTAATTGTCTTCCTCTGGGTGATGGACAGAGAAGAGCAGGAAGAAAGAGCCTTTGCTTCTTAATCCTGAGAGATCCAAGCACAGCAACATCTTTTTTTCTCATGCCTTGGTCAGAGCTAATCACCCAGCTCTACCCTAAGGCAAGGCAGCCTGGGAAATGTAGTATAATCCCTGGCTGAATGGCAGTTATGCTAGATGGCTTGCAGATACATCCCCATGCAATCAAGCTGCCCATCTTTCTAGGAAAATGTGCCTGTGCTTCATTTGCTCCTGAGCACACCCTCAAAGAGCACTAAAACAGTGTGAAAGTCTCCAGGCTTGGGAATTCCACTGGGTGCAAGCCCAGTGATGATTCCAAGCATCAGTATGCAAATGAATTTGTACATTTGTTTATGGTTTTGCTCCCTTAAGAGTCTTGTCTTAGTCTCAAGGGAATTTTATCCACACTACTAATGGTATTTTCTCTCCTTATGAAACTGGTAAAATCCAAATTAATGAGGCTTTATTCTTTGCTGAAAATGTAAACTGATTTCTTATAGTAAAATAACCTTTTAATTTCATGTTCAATTATTACTGATATATGTCCAAGAGGGAAAGAAGGCTATTGTGACTACAGAGGGAAATTGTGCAACGTGTTGTGCTTGTCTTGAATGGTTAGATTTTAGTATTTAATTACAAGAGTCTTGTCTCTCCTGTCAGGTTAGTCAGTATTTCGAAAGTGGAACGTGGGTTTTATCCGTGACTAAGTAATTGCTTGGTGTGTTCCTTTTCAATTACAGTAAAAAGTTATGAATTCTCTACATAAAGAATCGCTAACCATTATTTAGATTTGCCAGTTGAATAGGGTTTTTTTCTAAAAATAAAAAAATAAAGACTCAGGAAAGTTTTCTACTGCAAATTTTTTGGTTTCTCAGAGTAATTTACTTAAGAAATATTTCCCATGAAGAAAGAGTGAGAACAATTTGAGAAAGTTAAGTAGGTAGAGTCTGAAAACTCGGCAGGCAGTGTGAAAACAGTAACCCTAAACCATACTGCTGAAGATTTTAGTCATGAACTTTCATGTCAAGAAACCACTATCTTGCTGTTTTATTGTTCTATTAAAAACACAACTTTAATCTAATGACTTCAAACACATCAATATACTGTAGATTTTCTTCTGGGCAAAAAAAAAAAATCTCAATTGTGGAGAACAGTCTAGGTTGAACTTGGCTTTTGTAGATGTTTGACAACCAACATTTTTTTAAGACTTGAGAAGTGAGTGGTATGACTCTTACTTTTCAGATGAGGGGGTCTCAGAAAGTCTGATAGAATAATCACAAGTCTACATAAAGCAGGTCAGACATTTGAATCTGTGTCTCATTAACTCCCTAACTCCCAAACCCATAACACTTCTTTTCTTCCATGCCAACTCCAAAGAATGTCTGTCTAATGAATTCAAAATATACGAAATGAATTTGCTAGTGTAAGATTCCAGGACATTTCAGCTCTTGAAAGACTAATCCACCTACATATTAGCCAATTGATGGATGAGTTGGGAAAGTTTCGTTTAGTCATGAAGGCGGGTCTCTAGGACTCTTGAGAAGACTCCTAAGTACACAGGCAGACACTGATTCAGAATACTTACTAAATATCCATGACAGAACTCAATTACAACCCTTTAGAATTCTATAAAGCAGGCTCTCGCTCAGTCCTTTTCTAAAAGTGCCCAGGTGAAGTGGGTTTTTACAAATTTGCTGAGATAAACAGTGGTCAAGGCAGCCTGAGCCATGGGTGGATCCTGGACTGAGGGCAAGATAAAGAAAACCTCCTGGTTTTCCAGTTAGAAACTCAGCTCAAACCAGAGGAGAGAAGGTGCATTCCTTTCCAACATTAGCCTTTCACCTCTCTAGCAGCATGATGAGCCTGGCTTCTGATGGTTGGTTGCTGGGTGTTGGTGTCTTTCAGTTTCAACCAGGCTACTCTACTCAGGGTTTCTGCTGAGTGGCTGTGGGCAAGTCATATCCTGTGTTGGAAACGTGATGTCTCCAAATGGAAAATGAAGCAGTGGAATTAGATCAGAGTCCTTAGCCCAGGGCTTAAAATGCCAAGATGCCAAAAGTATTAACTGTTAATAGGCATTTGGAGGGAGAGAGGGGTTCATAAATCCTATTAGATTTTTCAAACAGCTTCTACACACAAAGAATTGAAAAAGCCAGATCATCTCTGAAATCTGTAGGACACCAGCATTCTACCTATCCCTGCACTGTGTCTTACTTTCCTATTGCTGTGATGAGACAAAGAAACTTACAGAAGAAAGAGATTATAGGGACTCACCGTTTCAGAGGGTGAATCCATGACCATCATGGTAGGGAGCACGGCAGCAGGCAGGCAAACACAGCTCTCACCTCATCTACAAGTATGGGGAGGGGAGATCCTGGGAATGGTGTAGACTTCTGAAACCTCAAAGCTGGTCCCCAGTGATACACACCTTCCAAGGCCAGACCCCCCAATCCTTTCCAAACAGTTCCACCAACGGAGGATCAAAAGTATTCAAATATATGAGCCTATGGGGGCCATTCTTATTTAAGCCACTACAGACTGTATTGAGCACAGAGTTTCAGACCCAATAGATGAGGGAGGAGTGCATTCCATCTTCTTCCTGCAGTGATACATAACAGATGTTGGGGTGTTTTTAGTGTAGATATCAGCTTCTTTCTTCTTTAAAATGAGTGTTCCATATAGTTAATGTTCAATAAATGTTTGAGGACAGTTGTAAGTCAGTTAGAAGTAAGTCACATTTAGGTGATGAATGAACATGTTTTCATGCCTAAAGGTTTTTTGTAGTTATGTGTAGCGCTAGAAAAGGTTCATTCAAAGAAGCATTTTCTTAGGAATATCAGACACTGGAAGGTTAGTGCTTAGTGTTAACCAAGCAGTTCTTACCCTGCAGGAGTCAAGGTCCCGGAGGTAAGGAGGCCTTGGTATTGAGGAGGTGAGGTGCTGTGAGGTGAGGTGATGTGCCTTTGTTGACGCTCCGTCTTTCCTCCAATGTGGCATGTATGTTGTCCTGCCTGAGAGCCTTCTCACGTGTCGTATCTCAGCAGTTCAGCCAACCTGAAGCAAAGAGCCCAGTTGCTTAGCAAATGAACACACTGGAGGATGAAGAAAAGCACTCCAACATGCCCCTACCCACTTTGCTAGGGAAGAAAAAAATTAAGTAGCATCCTTTTCCCAGGGTTCAGCTTGATGCTCAAGGAGCACAAGGAGCACACTCAAAGTAATGCCTTCGCTTTACTGAAACATTCTACTGTTCTCTGGAAAATGCTAGTTCAGTTCAGACAGAGATTGGATGTTTGGATATACCTTTAAGAAAAGCGGTGTTGGACTCTATTATTCTCTCTAAAATTTGCATTTTTCCCTGTTGGCAGTGTTTTAAAAGTTTGCTTTCATCTCCTTCATAGAGATACTGCCTATGTGTTCTAGAGCTATTTACCCTTTCAACTTCTGCTTAAAATCCAGCATCTTGGCTTAGTCTACTTAGGCAAGAGTCAAAGAAAAACCGTGTAGGCCACAGTGACATAACTTGTGCTTGGAATCTCTTCCAACCATCACCATCCAAGTCATTCTCAAGGCCACCCCCACAGTTCAGAGGCCGTGAACTGTTTGGAGTTGACCTTTAGAAAACAGTGTTTGTATTTATTACTTATTTGTGTTAAAAACAAATACCCAGAGAGCTCTCCCCACCTCAAAGGAGTGCCAGTCTTTATAGCTACTTAATATGAACTCATGATCATTACTAACCTTTTAGGGTTCTCTGAGGTAGTCTGGTAGTTTAAAAAACTTAACATCAAAATTTTCAGTAGGATTAGAAAAAAAAAAAAGAAAGCACATATTGCTAACTGTATCCTTAGCTTCAGCTTACTAGAGTAACTTTACAAATCACCAGTGTCTGTTTTGATTATACCTAAGTATACAATATGGCACATCTTCGTTACTATGTGTATTTACATATGTACTCTTAATAGACACAAATAAATCAATGCGTAGGTACAAATTCTTAACACCCTCAAAATTTGAATCTCAAGGAAAAGTACAGAAAAATGTCATCTGAAACTGAAACTATCATGTTAACATAAAATGGCTGAAATAGCTATGTATAAAAGTCTCAGAAGTTAACCCATACTTAGATAAATCCATGCATAGAAAAATAAAAATACATGTAAATAAAATGACATTTTAGAAGTTGTAGCATATCATAACAATATCAGAAGAGAAGCAAACAGTTGGCTTCTGGTGTGTGTGGTAGCTACCAAAAGTAGCTGGACGGGGGGAGATACTGAAAACTTGAGGGTTTCCCTGATAATCGCAGACCAACCGTCATGTATATTAGGCTTGATGACACTAACCTATGACCTCTGGGCTTCCTTGTCACACTTTTGGAACTGATATTTTTAGACCCCTGATGTCAGCCGGGAGCTTCCTTACACTTCTAAGTACAGATCCCAGCAGCCCCTCCACCCCGCCACCCCAGTGTACAGTGTACGTAGACAGGACCTCAAAGATCGGTTGTGAGAATTAAATGCAAAAATGCCTAGATAGATCCTGAGCCAACTGTAGTAGGTGCTCAGTAAATGGCTTGGCTTACAGAAAATAGCTGAGTCCAGCATTCTGTCCCTCTGGGAGAGTGCACTTCTTAGTATAAATTGATCAGCAACATTTTAGTTTACCTGTCAGTCTAGTATCTGAGTTTGGGCAGAATGACCCATCCCTGTGTGAACACAGACAAATGACTCCTGTGTGTGTTCAGGGCTCAGCCCTCAGGTTGGAATTGCCCTGCCTCCCCCAGAAGAGCTTGCTGGGAGCTCTCCGCCACTCAGCTCTTTTACTCCAGCCGCTCCCAGTCCTTGTTAAAGTTTTATACTTTGGGTGAAAGTGTTATTTCCTTCAGACCAAACAACAAGGGGTGTGTGTGTGTGTGTGTGTGTGTGTGTGTGTGTGTGTGTGTGTGTGTGTGTTCGCGCACTCGCCATAGCAAGTGAGATGAATATGAATCCCACTCATGTATTTCTCAGATGCTGTTGACCTGCTCTATTTTTACTTTGACAGATTCTTCCGGTTAGGAGGTGCTTTCCACAGACAGATTCTATTGTGCAATCGAAAATTCGGTCCGTTCGCCTCTAGGTTTCCTCCACATCTCTCAGGTGGCCGCACCCAAGCCTTCAGACTGCTGTGTTCGCCACAGACTTGAGCTGTTATTTAAAAGGTCTTAGCTTCCCTCCAGTTTGTGATTTTTTTTTCCCTCCAGAAGAATTGATGATTTCCTTGTTTGTTCGTGTATAGGACCATGTTCTTAATATAGAGGAAAGCCAACTCTGTATGTGCAGCAGACTCAAAGTAAAAGTGGAATAATTGTATTTACCTGTTGATTTGATTTTACATTTAATTAGCCCCCCTTCAGTCAGCAGGTCCTTAATGGGGACAGTGTTTATCCTGAGAGTTACACAGATGTAGGTTCATAGCCCGGCTCTACCACAGAGGTCCCTAAACTTCCCAGCTGTCCTCCCTAAAATACTGATAGGAACTCCAAGCATATTAAGCTCTTAACTCCCAGCACCAGTGAGGGAGAGCACTTGGGAAGTCAGCCACTGCCCTAGGTGTGGACAGAGGACTGGGGTGGGGTCAGGATGCTGAAATGCTTGCTTCTGTGTTTCAATGTAACGAGCAGCTGGGATTTCACATTTGCTTTCCTGCCTATTTTGTGACAACCTTTAAAGGGACTATTAATGTCTGCCATTTTTAAAAATATGTCTTAAGTTTCTAATAAGAATACTACCTCTAAATAGTAATTTCTATCCTTGAATAACCATTATACTAAAATAAATCAAAAGCTGCTGTGTGTAGATAGCAGAGTATATCTTGAGAGTGAGCTCAAAAATTAGAGCGGGTGTCCTGTCAAGGACTGTCAAGACTTGAGGACCTAGAGAAGGCGGTCCCTGGCTGATTATGGCTCCAGTACCGTGTGCTTGGTTAGAGCTGTTTGGCTTTGTGTCTCGCTTTATTGTACTTTCTATTCCAGGGGCCAAGACAGAACTGAGTCCAGTGGTTGTATTAAGTAAATCAAACTGCCAGCTCATGTTTCAAACACTGAGGTGGGCTAGAGGAGCAGAGGAGCAATCTCTGGAGATATTTGTTGCAAAAAAAAGTAGGCCATTAATACACTGTTGTTTTAAAGGGTGAAGGGAAGGAGGCATCGCACAAGGGATTTGCAGAGTTGGCTACCAAAGTAACAAAGAACCCAGTGCATTTGAGTCATCGTCAGAATGTAGTGTTCTGTCTGCATTTTTTCAATTGAGCCAGACAGTGCACAGACTCAGCTTTTGCTTGCAGGAAGTTTACAGTGTAAGGCAGAAAATACTAAACCTTGCAGACATGAAGATGAGTACGTTGCAATATTTTATAAACAGGAACGGTCCTACTTCATGCTACATAATTCCATCAGCAGATAACACTTCATTCAGGATATTAAAAAAAATAACCCTTCTTTTCTTTGCCATCACAGTAGTATATGTTTATTTTAGAAAAACAGAAATGTGAAATATATGCAAAAGAATCACATAATTTTACCACTCAGAGGAAATTGGGTGGTGTTATATTTTGTGACATATTTAATGTGTCTTTTAAAATGCATTCTTGCATTTTATGTAACTGAGATCTATATGCGTAATTCTGCTGTGTGCTTTCTTCGTAGCGTGCTTTTGTGTTGAGAATTTTAAGAACACCATTCTCATGGTTTTATATTTTAGAATAATTTACAGGTTGATACTCAGCTTTCAGTCCCCTGCAACAATCCTTTACTGTACAGGACGTCAAAGGCTCATTCTGAGTGTGTGTGAGCCCTTCAGACCTGCTTCCGATACAGAGCTATTGTTCACCTAAAGTGGAAGCTCAGTACTCTCCGTATTTCCTCAGGCTGGGCGGCTACACTGCTTTCTCTGCCCCCGTTGACTTATCAGGCCCCGAGCACACACACGCTTGTTTATAGCAGTCTTCCTGATATGCAGCCACGACATGGGCCCTGGAAAACTGCCCAGCTGCATACCATTCATACCCCGTCTTTCAGCTTCTGGTAACTCGTCAGGTGCTCTTAACTCCTTCAGTCTCCACAGGAACCACTCTGTAGTGCCCTAACCATGGAGACAGCCTCTGGCTAATTACTTACCTGCTTATGCTCATGCTCACAAACGAAAGGAAACACAATGGCTCTAATGTATGAACACGTATTAGAGAGGCTGTCATCCTCTCTCCCCCCCTCAGCCTTACCATACATTCCAGCTTGTCTTACTCCTTCAGGCTCCAGCTGTATCCTGCAGACACTCAGCTGCCTTCCATGGAATGGTAGAGACCATTCCTGGTCTCCTGGCAGGATGGGTATGCTTTGGCTAGGACTTAAAAAAAAAAAAAATCAGTTGGAAAGAATCACCTCATCATCTGGAAGCCTCCACTTCACAAAGCTTCACCTGGTCAGATGTTTCCCAGGAACATGCTCCTCTTACTGCTGCTTCTGTCTCGTGCCCAGTCTGGGTGATGGGGAAGAGGGCAGGGAAGTACAGGGCAGGAGGGCAGAGTCAGATTATGTAGGAATCTGGGGTGGGTCAGAATCCTTTCCAGAATTCTGTTTACTTGCCAAAGTCTGCCTTATTTTCTTCAAGGCACCAAACAGCAGCCCCTGCAGGTAGGAATCTAAAGAGTAAACCTGCACATGCAGGGTCATAGCACCCTAGGAAGGAGAGGATGCTGAGGAAGCAAGCACCAAGAAGGGAGGGTGTGCCCTGCTTCCCTTCTAGTCACAGGTGTCCCCGCCAAGCAGGAGTTAATCGGGCTAGCCTGCCCGGCACTTTCTGAAATATTATCTTGTTCGTGACGAATCCTGTGCCTGTGGGTCAGGGTACTTGGTTTCATGTAGCACATCACAAGAGCTCATTAGAACTTCAGAAAGACAGCCGCGAAGAAAAGAAGTAGTGGTACAGCCTATGCAGGTGAAGAATAAATTGACAGTCTTCATCATGGGTCTGAGAAGCACAGAGAGATCTCCTCTGCCATCCTTTGTGGCTCAGGACGCTTATTCATTTCCCCTCAAATCACCCTGAATTTAGTCTCTCATAAGCACCATTGGAACTCCCATGAGAGACCATAAAGTGTGTGCCTGCTGGCTGCATGCATGATGTGAGAGCCAGCCAGCACTCATTAGCTAGCTCAGCTGATTAAATCTTGACAGTTAGCAGAACTCAGTCAAACATCCTGGATTATGGGCAGCTCACAGAGCCCTAGAGCAGGTCTCCAGCAGTGATGGATTAGACCAAGTTGCCCCATCACACCAAGTTGCCCCATCACACCAGCCCCCTGTCCGGCACATGTGAGTGTGTGCTCAGTAAATAAGGGATCTGTATGTTTTTAGGAATGTCAGAATTTCGTGGATCATGCTTCATATATTAGGTACCTAGCCAACAACGTTTGGGTTAGTAGAGTTAAGGCACAGAGTTCAGCGGGTGACTTTACAGGATTGTATAAGCATAAACATAAATGTCAACATCAGCCATTAAATTTTTCTATAAATAATCTCACATTGAAGTCAGGTGGGGTTGAGTAGGCATCTGATAGTAGCACCGAGGAGGTCAGAAGCTTGTAAATTCAAGGCCAGCTTGGGCCACATAGCAAGACTCCACCTTAATTAAAGAAAATGGAACAATCTGGAAGGCGAGAAAGGTTCATCTGAGTTAGTGACTGTGGACATATTTCTTGTTCCAGGTGTGAATGCCGCACTGAGGAAGAGCAGCAATGACTAGCCACCCCTGTGTGTGACAGGCATCTTTCCTGATAGGGAGGGGTTTAGTTACTTGTGGTGTAAAGGTGGGGGCTTCTCGGACTGATGCCTCTAAGATTGTGTGTTTGTTTGCCTGGGTCTTAGAACTGCTGTCTAATTTACCCTGTGCATCAAAACACTGTCAAGCTTTCAGTCTCATTGCCGCGTGGAACCTGGAGCCCAGGGGAAGGTCAGTATCTTAGCCCCAGTCAAAGCCAAGATGAGCTATGCTAAGAGAAAGAACTACTGACTGAACAAGCAGACAGTGATGCAGAGAAGCGTCAGCCTGGAGAAGCAGGGAAACCTTGCCAGAGAGCTGGCGTTTGAGCTTTGCCTCCAAGAATACAGAGGAATTTCCCAAGCAGAGACAAGAGAGATGGCATTATAGACAGGAGAAAGCAAGCTGCGTGTTCAGGGATCAAGAAGATACTCGCATTTCTAATTGACTTAAGAGAGAAAAAAGTTATGTCTAGTTCAGAGATGAGCAGATCCATGGGAGTGGTAGAGCGGTGAGACTCAGATGCTTCACCTCCAGAACCCAGAGGGGTACTTCCAGTGTTTGCCCAAAAGCTCTTTGAGTCACCTCTGCCCCAGTGTCCACTTCCATCATATTCCCATCCTCAAGGACTCCTTGAAGGACAGCTTGTTGATTTAAAAGAGCCCCTAAGGTTTGCGAGGGCTGGTCCAGAGCTCCACCCTAGAGATGCCGATTTCAGGAGAGGTGAGCCTGATAATAGCTGGACCTGCAGCCACTGAAGACCTTAAGAGCAGTGAGACCTGTGGACAATTTCTGGTTCTTCTGCTATTTATTTACGAAGGGCTTCAGCAAGGTTTTTTGTTGTTTTTTTTTTTAATGATCTTTAAAAGTAAACTATGCACAATTATTTTGCATCTGTGTGATACTACTGTGCACACTTTAAATTCCCATTAAAAAAACAAAGCATAAGCTTGACATGGGCTGGTATCTAGAGTCCTGCCATTTGGGAGGCAAAGACAAGATGATTACTTGAGCCTAAAAGATCAAGGGCAGCTTGGAGAGTCAGGGGGACTCAACCTGAAAATAACAAGGACCACACCAAAAGCCCCACTCTCCCCTGGACCACTCCAGTCTTCTCATCCCTCCCTTCTTCCACTTTGGTGGCCTGTACCTGGACAGCCTTCTGTATCCTTCTGGTATTCACACAGTGAGGTGTTGCATTAGTCAAGACTTCTCATGAAGGCAACAAAATCCCCGCCAGTGACTCCAGGAGAAAGGAGTCCCTCTCACTCACAGGCCTCAGGCCATCGCGGTGCGGGGAGCGTGGCAGCCAGGAAGCGGGTGGCAAGAATGCCCGCACTAGCTGGCTCAGTCGGTTTGCCCCTTTTATTCTGTGCAGGTCCCCAGCCTGCGGGAATGAGCCACTTTCACTCAGACTGTCCCAGAGGTGGGCTTCTCGAAATCACTCAGCCTCCTCCGACCAAAGCTGACCATCAGAATTAACCCTGTAGTCATGTGCACGCACTCACAGATACCCCTGCACACAGCTGGAGTCAGGGCATCGGTGATTATTTTCACTAGAGATTAAAATACATTACGTAAGATGTTCTCAAAGTATAGTTTGAAGTTCATAACTGGAGGGAAGTGTAATTGCTATAAATGTACAAAAGATACATGTGAATATTTATTTCATACTTCAGTTTGTGAAATTTGAATGTGTTTTGCTCTTATATTATTTTTATGTGTAATTCTTCCTGTTGTGGTAAATTTTAGTAAGAGTCATCAGTACCATAAAATGTTAAATTTAACATTTCAGATGTTGTTTTTGTAAGTATGTAGCTTTTATGCCTCCGAAATTATTAAAGTTTAAAATGCAGTAAGACTTTTGACAGATCCTATTATATTCTTTAAAATGTTTTTTCCTAAAAAAAAAAAAAAATGAGGGTGGAGGATGGATGTCAGTGTGGAGCCCTAGCCTAATATTCACCAATCCCACAGTATTGCAAGAAGCACAGAGCAGACAGTATGATACTGGCCTTTGTCCGGCTGGTAAAGCTTGAGGGCGTCCTTTTTAATAACTACGTAATAGTCTACGGTGTAGCTGTTAGTCTGTGCTGCCGTTGTCCCACAGGTGGAGATATCCCTCCGTCCTGGTTGTTTCAGCCATTGTCAACGTAGAGATCATACGCATCTATGTCTGTGTCCTTACATAGAACGTGATCGTTTCTATGCCGTAAATTCCTAGGAGTAGGATGGCAGGATTGGAAAAGTGAATGTGAATTTAATGTTAACAGATGTAGTTACGAATGGATTTACCTAATTAATAAAAATACCTTAGATTTTAGAGGATTTGAAAATCGTTATTTGTTTGATGCTAACAGGATCTCTAAGGTAGGTAGAGCAGCTGTTACTATTCCCCGAGGGTCTGACAGATAGAAACCTGGCTCGACAATGCTTGACTCATCCTGAGGCAAGTGGGTCCTCAAGGAGCCACCCCTGAGGTCTTTCTCTGCCAACTTGTTTGCTTTGTTAGAGCCGCTGCAGGAAAATCTGTGGAATCCATTAAGGAAGTGGCCTTGGTCATTGGTCTGTCCCCAGGAGGGGGCAGTAGTTGAGATACATTTGTTGTCTTAAGTGTCCATACACACACACACACACACACACACACACACACACTCACTCACACCCCTGCATCTTCTAAGTGGCAGACCTGTGTTCCTTTCGTTTGTAGTACCTCAGATGTATTTCAGGTTGGTTTGTTTGATATTAAAATAATGACTAAGATTTGATATATTGCATTTCATTGGTAGATTTCTATGAGAGAAAAAGAAAGAGAGGGAGGGAGGGAGGGAGGGAGGGAGGGAGGGAGGGAGAGACTGATAAGAGTGAGCTCCAGGAGTTGGGCAAGAGTACACATTAGCTCCCTCAAAGAACTTCACATGTCCCAAGTCCAGTTGACTCTTCTCCTGTGTGTTGGAGGTGGAGTTATTCATGTAGCCCCGGGGTTTCCTCATCTGGAAAGCAGGGGTAACACGTCTACCTCTTGAGGCTGCCTTAAGGAGTTATAATTTAAATTGATTAGCCTGGCAGGTATCACCCAGCAAGGTTTGTTTTTTAGAAAGAATATGCCAGAGCCCTTGGCTACAAGAGCACATACTTTATGGTTATGTATGTACTTAAAAAAAATGTTTTCATCTGTGCCATTGCCAGATTGCCACTGGAATGCTCTGCATTTTGTACCCAAAGAAAGTATCAATGGAGTGAGGCTATACAGATGCTCGTGGCGATTCTAGGCAGTTTTTGAGTGACAAGTATTTAAACCACAGTGAGTACTTTGGCTTCTGCAAGGGTTTGCTTGAGAGGAACAGTGAAAAGAATTTTAGTTTCTCTTCCTCCAAGTGAGTGTTGTTTGCTTAGCTGTCTGTTTGGGAGGTGGGACGAAGCGGCCACTTGAAACCAATGGTAGAAGGGGGGACAAGTATCATCAGGGTTTACTCACAGCCGCTACTGCCCATCCTGATAAATGGGGTTCAGAAACAGCTATGAACCAGCACATTTTCCCTTCAAAATGTTAAGAATCGTTGTGGAGCAGGAACAGCTGTAGAATTCAACTGTCTGTAACCTGATGCTGAGTGCAGGGTGATGTTTGGATGCAGTTGTGTTAATATCCACAGTGCCAGTTTAGGTAATAGTGAGGGGCCAGGTGAGTGGTTCAAGCCAGATGGCGCTTCACTCTTCTGGAGTTTTGTACCAAGGCCAGAGCTAGCTTTGAGTTTCCCGAGGAGGAAGGGGGCGGGCGGTTGGGTTTGGTGTCACACCCTGCGTATTATGTAAACACAGGTTGTGCATCTTCCCTTCTGTGAGGAGTGGTGACAGCAAGTTCGACTTTGCTTGACGTCATCCTGGTGCACTACCATTCTGGCATACAAACGTGGTAAAGAGGAGCATCCAGGAGCCTGTGGAGAACAAAAATGGGATTTCCTGACGCCCCCACCCCCACCCCCAAGGCCTTTGGCCATCCTTCAGATTTTCTGGAAAGGAAGAGATGTCTCAAGGCAAAAAGTTATGGTTCACAAGACTTTACGGGGTCAAGGAGGTGAGGGCATGGCCTAGAATGATAAATATGCACCCTCCATAGCGCTGAAAGTAGGACTGGCAGGGCCTGGGTCAGCTGAGAATTGCCTCCTCTGCACTCTGTACAACATCACAACCTTTATTGGGTGGCTGAGCCTCGGATGGTCTTATTCCATTTTGTTACACAGGTCACCAGA